ACTTAAGGAAAAAATAAAAAAACTGTAAAAAGTTCAAGAAAAAAAGAAAATAATATAATAAAAAAGATAATAAAAAATTACTTCTAACCACATAAATTTAGTAACTCTTCACACTCTCTAATATTAAAAACATTTATCTCTTCCACCTGTATCCCATCTCTTATATATAAATAAATCCATAAAATGTTTCAGTCTTGATGTCAGCAAAAAGTCCAAAAAGGGTAGCCAAAAGTAACCACATATTTCATTTAACCTTGCTCAAATAAACAATGTTATATTCTTCCTTTTACTTCTAATAGTCTTAATCTTTAATTCATTCAAATATTGTCATAGGTCCTAGGATTTTATTTTTCTTCATTTCTTTTTTGTCCTATCCTTCAAAACTTTAACAACACAGGTAAATCCATTAAGAAAGAATTGTCTGGGTCACAATTGTATTTGTCATTTGTATTTTGTTTTTAAATTTTAAAACCTCAGCACTCTTTTAGTATATCAGTAAAGCATCTTTTCTAAAACATTCTCTTGGTTTGACAGCTGTAAATCCACTTTCAATACTATATCTGTCTTGTTGGATAAAACGTGTTCTATATCTGACATTTCTTCAATAATGTCATTTGGGCATAGTCTGTATATAGAAGCAGACATCATTATTGATGTTGATATTGTGGCTACTACTGTATTTTCTGATTCCATTCTTCAAAGGTCTCCTTCAATAATTGCATTGTCATAACTATTTTGAAGGCCTGTATATCTTTCCTCTACCTAAAATCTACCTAAAATCCTTTCTAGTGTTCAATTTTTTTAAATTGTGAAATTATTTATCTGTGCTATGTCTTGTAATAAGCAAAACAGGTTCTATTTTCCACAAGGTGTTTCTATTTTATAATTAATTTAAAAATCTTACTATAAAAATTCCAGTGTTAGAATTTTATCTGAATCCTTAGTTCATTTATAACTTTCTAAAGCTTTTTGTTGTTTATTTCAGATTTTAAAGCTTTTAAGTGAAGTTCTGTTTCATTTAGGATTAAAGGCAGACTTATCTGACATTTTCAAACTAGTCATTCCAAAGGTCTCTAATAGCTTAGAAGTAGTTAAGGTGCAATTTCCGAATGTGCAAATTAGAACATGAGATTTGTGAACTTAGTACCCTTTAAAAGTGTTGTGGTTGTGTGAGCAGGATGGCTGATCTCATCTTCTCCTGGTGCTCAAACCAGTGGAAAACCACTGTCCCGCAGTCTCCTCACGAAGAGCAGTTGTATGGAGCACATGTGGGTAATCTCCATCCTTTCCTTATCCAGAGGTTACAAGGAACTAGTCTACTCACCAGTTCTTTGGCGTTTGCTGTGGTCGTTGGCTCTGTTTTTTTAGAGCAGTCTTTAATTCATCATACCTTCTCTGGAAGCCTGCTTTCAAAGTTTGTTTTATAAAATTGGGCATTTACTTAGAATGTATTGAGGCTCCAAAAACGCAGAACAAAGTATTGTGCAAGACCAGAAATGCTCTCACATAATGTGGATTTCACTGTTATTTGCAGTTGGTAAATGTTAAGAATACCTTGAAGAATATTAGATAAGTAAGCTCTTAATATTTTATTTCCATACAATCATTCATTCCCTTAAGAACTGCAATTGTGGATCTGTCCCCCTGTATCGCAAAATTCCTATAGTTATTGCTTTAGCAGCTAGCTGTTAAACAGTTAGTCCTTTTTAATTAGATCTCCCTTCCTGAATAATCTTACCTCTTTGAAGGTATCTTCATCACCACATTTCATTAAAATATTTTGTTACATAAATGGTGTTTTGTCCATAAGTTTATGAAAAATGCAAAATTCCTGTTTTCTTTAAACATCATTATGCAAGGAAGATAGTATCATATATTAATATGATAGGTTAACTACTCAAAATATCTTAATTATTCTGAAATTTTAAATTTGTTTTGAGGTGAAATGGGGCTCAGTCCCAGAGAAAGGCTTTTCTTTTTAAGAGGGCTATAACATATGTAATATGTAAAATTTGACAAAAAATTATGAATATGATGCAACTCTCCTTTAAGTATCACTGTTGCATCTTAAAATATTCTGTATCATTTTCTATGTGGCTTGTAGAAAAGTTTAACCAAAAGAACCATATCCAGTTGCTAATTATCTGAAAACTGAATCAGTTGGATATATTAATTGTGAACCTTAAAGTTACTTACTTTAAAATAATGCATAAGTACATATGGCATTATCATGCTGATTTAAACTTGAAGCATGGTCTGTTTAAAGACATTATCATTTATTAAAGCTATATGATTTGCCTAAATTTGATTTTTTTTAAAATCAGTATATACAGCCTTCCTGGAAAATAGTCTTTTTCTGTTGATAAGAATATAGGTTGTGAAAGTTAGACTTGCCAGTATCTCAACATTAATGCTTGCCTTCAGATCTTAATATATATCCCAGAAATTGGCAAAACTAATTAGAGAAATAAGAAAACATTGAAGTAAAAGACTTTTGAAACAATCTTAGTGCCAGCAAGTGACTCAATATTAAATGCATTTGTAACACATTATGTATTTTTGTTCAAAATTGTTCCTGTATAGTATTATGCTTACACAGACACACTGTATACAAGAAAGGATAAATAAGGAAAGGAAATGAAGGAGGGAATTCCCATTCTATACTTCTTATTTCACGTCCTTTCCCTATCATGGATTGAACAGATGCAGTTTGTTTGCTTTTTCCTGAATTAGGCATAACTAACGTGGATACCATAGCCACAATTAACATTTAGAAACATCTGGCACGTATGGTTGTTGTGATTCATTCATTTTGGACTTGACCTTGTTTATCTAAACAGAAATATTTATAAATCTTCTGCACATGTTATCCATTTCCTGTTATATAAAATCACTGACTTGCACATTAAGCAATGTGCTGAGATTTCAAATACTTGATATCCAGGAAAAAAACCCTGCATTTTGCCATAAACAGCAGCCGCCGCCAAAAAAGCTAATACAATTCTGGGTTGTATAAACAGAGGCATAGAATCAAGAACACGCGAAGTATTAGTACTGCTTTATAAAACCCTAGTAAGACCACACCTGGAATATTGCAGCCAATTTTGGTCACCATATCACAAAAAAGATGTTGAGAGTCTGGAAAAAATTCAGAGAAGAGCAACTAAGATGATCAAAGGCCTGGAGACTAAAACGTACGAAGAACGGCTGCAGGACTTGGGTTTGGCTGCTAGTCTAAAGAAAAGAAGAAATAGGGGAGACATAGCAGTAGTCTAGTATTTGAGGGGCTGCCACAAAGAAGAGGGGTCACATTATTTACCAAAGCACCAGAGGGCAGGACAAGAAACAATGGTTGGAAATTGGTCAAAGAGAGAAACAATCTGGAATTAAAGAGAAACTTCCTGACAGTAAGGACAATTAACCAGTGGAACAGCTTGCCTTGAAAAATCGTGGGTGCTGCATCACTGGAGATTTTTAAGAAGAGGCTAGACAGTCAGTTGTCTGAGATGATATAGGTTCTCCTGCTTGAGCAGGGGCCTGGACTAGAAGACCTCCAAGGTCCCTTCAAGCTCTATTCTATATAAACCCTTTAGAGGATGACCAGATTTAGCAAAAATATTCTGTTGTCCTTTTCTTGTCTCTTCTCCCCCCCCCCCAAGTGTAGTATAGTCTTCCATTTGGGAGCATTTTGCTTTGTGATTTATTGTCTAGCCTGATGTCTTAACCGCTCGCTGAACCAAACTCAATCTCCTTCTAATGCAGGGGTAGGCAAGCTCGGCTCTTTTATGACTCCTGGACTTCAACTCCCAGAATTCCTGAGTCAGCATAGCTGACTCAGGAATTCTGGGAGTTGAAGTCCAGGAGTCATAAAAGAGCCGAGCTTGCCTACCCCTGTTCTAATGTATAAATATATGTAATGTAAATATAATAGTAGTTGCACCCTTTACTGCAATTCTTTTGATGCTGTGTAAAATGCTGACTATGATGTTAGTTTTTAAAATATTTTTTAAAATATCAGTTAAGATATTAATGAAATAATTTAGACTATCAGTTTTAATAATATTTTTGTAACATATAGATTAATTCTTAAATAGAAAAATGTTTCTTATGCTCTGAACACTTTTTGTGCCCAATGTAATCTTTAAAGCCAAAAGGCTGGATAATAAACATCTTCTATGTTATATTTTAGTCATACTTTTATAATCTACTTACAGTATTAAAATAAAAGTGACGTAAGTGCAGAGACGTAGGTGCAATTTGTATTCCTTATTGTGGGGTATAATCATCAACTGATCTTTTCTGCATTTCTCTTACTCTATATCAGTGGTGGCGAACCTATGGCACGGGTGCCAGAGGCGGCACTCAGATCCCTCTCTGTGGGCACGTGCGCCATTGCCCCAGTCCTAGGCCTTCATCTGGGTTTTATAAAACCTTTTCGCTTTAGGCCTCTGCCGCCGTGTACAAAAAAAAAAGGTTCAATCAATCAGTCAATTTCAACTTCATGCGGGGAAAAAAAAAGATCTTGCAAAGTTGGAATTGTTCGATTGAACTTTTTAGTCCCACCCAGTCTGCTATTACCACTGCAGCCACGCCCACCCACTGGGCACACCCAGCCAATGGGCCACATCCACCCGGCACCCGGCGATGCATAAATAGGTTTTGGGTTGCAGTTTGGGCACTCGGTCTCTAAAAGGTTCGCCATCACCGCTCTATATTAATGCAAATAGCTGAATCAGAAGATTACATGTTAACCTGAATGCAGTTCTCAATCAATATGAGATGGAAGAATGGCATAAGAATTTTTTTAATTTTTTTTAGGTACAATACAAGTGAGAACAAAGTGAGATCAGACTTAGATTTTCAGAGTTTTTGCTGAAATGATTATTAATATAGATGGCCTTGAAGTAATACTTTACTCCATCACCTGCAAGATCAGTTGTGGGTACTTACTATTTTTTATGTAACCTTATTCTTAATATTTTATTTTCCTTATTTTACAGTTGTCCATATTTATCTGAGAAGATTACACCTGCAATTCCCGCAGTGGGAGCAATTCTGTTCTTTTTTGTTATGGGGACCTTGCTACGTACTAGTTTCAGTGATCCTGGAGTCCTGCCTCGTGCAACACCAGATGAAGCAGCAGATCTAGAAAGGCAAATAGGTAACACAGAAGGTCTGTTGCAGTCTCTCTGTTTCTCATTTTATTGCTCTCTCTTAAATGCCAGTTGTTAAGCCCACATTTTAGCAGATTTTCTAGTCGTTCTAATCAATGTTACTTACTATTTTTACTTTCAGATATTCCTAACTCTGTTACTCTAAATCTGTCTCAATTTCCTGTTACTTTATGCAAAATGGGCAGCTAACTGAATGATCAACTAAGTTAATTTTACAATTTGTGCATTTTTGTTTTATACTATTGTTTTATTATGTGGTAGACCCTGATCACAGATGATACATTTGATTTAAATGGCGATATAAATTGATAAGGAAATGAATTCAATGTCTTCTTTACAACAATCTAAAGGCTTAATTTATAGTTTAGTTTAAAAAAATGTAGTAAAGATAATTCTGAAAACGAAGCTTTACATATGATTATATATGCGCTGCTTGTGTGTAGATGTTGGAGCAGGCTGAAAAGTATTTTTTGATTCCAGACAGCAAATCAAAATATTGGAATGTAAGATAAGTCAGGGATTAAAATAATATAGGTATCTAAAATATGATAAGATTTTTTATAATGTGGCATCAAGAGAGCCTGTTTGCCATTAAGTGACTAGTCCTGCCTTAGCACAAAGCTAATTGGATGACCTTGGGGGGACTGTGTGGATGACCCTGGGGGACGCAGGGAAATGATGCTGCCTAAGAAATAACCAAACAAGTGAGGGAGATGCTCCCACTGGATTAATGGTCAGAAGAAGAAATTTAAGAAGGATTTGCCCTAATTGTTCAGATGGTTAAAAATGGTGGCAAGAGGCTTGTACTTTCAGACTTGCAAGGTTCTGTTAAAGTAGCCTTACAATAAAGTAGAATTAGCTCATCTTGTCACGTTTCCTGTCTGCTTTACCTGGAAGGGCTGACCTTTGGACCAGTCACTCTGACTCAATCTTAGAAAGTAGGCAGTGGCAAACTATTTCCAAAATCTTGCCAAGAAAACTGCAGTTGCCAGGAGTCAAAGGTATAGTAGCAACAAAATGTGACATCAACATATGTAGCCCCCCTCCCCAAAAAGTCCCTATCTAAGCATCTGCTACAACCATATAGTCATATACATTAATTTGATCAGTTTCTTATTAATAAGTGGCAATTTTTACACATATAATAAATCTGCTTGCCAAAGAGTATATGGGCTGCCTGAAATTTTATGATTAATAAGTAACAGTAATATCAGATTTCATAGTTGTTGGAACCATGACTCCTATATAAATCTGTACTTAGCAGTGTATTCTTTTCTAAATGCTCACTTATTACCTACTTAAATATCTGTTTGAGATATCATTGCCATGCTGACCAAACTGTATGTTTCCGAGATCTCTGATAATTGCATGAAACACTATTTAGGGCATGAAATTGTATAAAGAATGAAATGGCAGAGTATATACTCAGCTGTGATCTAATAAATAACAGGATCATACATACTCATCTTGCTATTCTGTTTCAGGGTAAACAGTCTTATGCTAAATGTAAAGAAAGATTAAAATGTAGAAAAGAGGTTAAAGACAGGAAGTAAAAGGGAAAAAATTCTAATTAAATTAAGTTTACATTCACTATACTTCTGCATGCATTTTTGTTTTTAATCTTTGTTTCCAGTACATCCAAAACCAAATTAATATATTATCTTTTGTTCTTTAAAAAAAACTTTATCTTTTTAGAGAATCTTTTCCCCCTTACAACCATACCTTGCTCAAACTTCCCCTTTTTTCAATCCAAGGGACCTTGGAGGTCTTCTAGTCCAGCCCCCTGCTCAGACAAGTGACTGTCTAGTCTCTTCTTAAAAACCTCCAGTGATGGAGTGCCCATTTAATTTGATCTATCTATTGTTGTTCTACTACATACAGTTTGCATTCTCTTTTTGTTTCTGCTTACCTACTCAATTCTTATTTCTATTAAGTAAGGTTGATAAGACTTTCTTACATACAGCCATTTTCACTTCTTTTAACAAATATTCATTCTTTAAATAGATTGCATGTTATCCACTATTTCTTTCCTAACATTTGTATATCTTAATTTTTTTTCATCCATTTCCCCATTTTAGTAAACATTCCAGTAAGGTACAATATTAATTTCATTAATTTCAAGTTAATTTGTTTAACTTGCATTCATTTACTTAATTTTTTTATAAAACATGATTACCTTGATCTTTAATTTTTACATTCTTTCTGCTTGTTGCATTGTATGACCTAACACTTGCTACAAATCGTTCATGTTGTCAGGCAACAACATGGAATCATCTATATACAAAAGTACATATGTGTTCATGTTCCCCACCAATACACTTCTAATATTGCAAAAAGCATTATTTATACATTCATCCATAACTACAGTAAACAGCAAGAAACATCACACAGCCTTCTTTTACTCCCTGTTCACTGTTGAACCATTTGATAAGCATTCTAATTTTTCTCATGAATGCTTTTCTATCACCCTATATCACTTTTAATATTGACCTTGGTATATTGTCGCAAACCATTCCATAATTCAATTTTGTTCACTTTATCATACACTTATTTGTCATACTGGAGAACTTTCCTGGATTTGTTTTCCTAGCTAAGATGTAAAGAAATAGTTACAGATAGGGTGGACTAAATGATGTTAAAAACTATAATATTCCTGAAGTATGATTCTGAGTTTCCTTTCCATGAAGAATGTGACATCTGGAGGTTTTAGCTGCTGAAAGAAGGGAATTTTATTTAATCCTTAAATGTCTCAGTCTCCTCTAATTTTGTTTCAGAAGTTCCCTTGCTACATTTTTATTCCTTTGTGGTATATGCATTGCAGTACATATTGCAAAAACATGTTTTGCAATAATGCAGTAAAAATAATTTTAAATGCAGCAAAGGAACATACCATTTCATTTCTACAAGCACATGAAAACAAATAGTAAAGACTCAGAATTAAAAAATATATAAAAATATATAAAAATTCAAGAGTTTAAACATTTCAACATCCAGTCTCCATCTTCCACTTTTGCTTATTTCTTAAACTCCTGGTTTCTCAATAGCTTTCTAGAGCGCACAAGTGGAAAAGAGAGGTGATAGGCCGTGGTGGCGCAGTGGTTAAAATGCAGTATTGCAGGTTAACTCTGCCCACTGCCAGGAGTTTGATTTTGACAGACTCAAGGTTGACTCAGCCTTCCATTCTTCTGAGGTCGGGGGCAAGACTGTATGCTGACTCTGCAAACTGCTTATAGAGTGCTGTAAAGCAGTATATAAGTCTAAGTCCTATTGCTATAAAAATCACCTTTCCCTTTTTTTCCCTCCTCTTTGAAGTATCATTTGGGAAGACAATACTTTAATTTAGCAAATATATAAATTTGATTTAAAGCAAGCTACTTCAGATAACTAAAGAAAAATGGTTGAATAGTTTTCATTTCCTTTTCTGTTTTATGAATGACACACATTTTATCTTACAATTGAACTAGCATCTACCACTTTTTACAGAAGCAGAATAAGCAAAAATCACTCCATGCTTTTTTGGAATATTGAAATAACATTACATTTCTACTTTAATTTGCTTCTTCAGTCTTGAGTCTTACAACTCTGCAGACTTGCCTAATTAAAACTGATACACCAAGTATCATGACCTGATACAGCTTGTATCATTTTTGCCTTTGCACACTCCACCCACACTTACTGGAAACGATTTCCTTAGGAATTCAAACAAAGTGACTGCTGTGCTTTATTTGAATGATCTGAACATGTACATAATATAGTATACATTCCCTCATTCATGCTGTAAATAATAAAAGTACAGATTGAGACTTGGAAATTGAGGTTATTAGGAAGAAATGCTTTATGGTGAAAGTGTCTATCTTACATCTGTTCTTTTAAATTTTAAAATGAACTGTTATTAGACTGCATTAGAGGAGAATGAAAGAAACATATTGTTTTCTTGGCTAACAGCAAAGGTTAAAGCTAAAGTGGATTTAGTTTTTCTCCATTATACAATTTTGAGGCCAGGAAGAGGCACAGAGAGGTCTGAATATTATTTCCAACCACATACTGGTAGGATTTATCAAAGGGCAGTGTTAAGAACAAAGTTTGGACAAATTAGCCAATACTTTGCTATAGATGTGTGATATGATAGAGCTCATATTGGTTCCTGATAAGCTTCTGGGTGCAATTTAATGTGCTTGTTTTTATGCATAAAGCCATTTGTGGCTTAGTGCTAATTGACTCCAGGACTGCATATATCAGCTAAAATTGACCTTACTGATAAATTGATCTCAGGAAAAACAAGTATTTGTTCCCCATTTCTGTGAAGTTAATTGGGGGGAGAAGAGGTGGAGCTAGAAAGTATTAGTAGTTTTTACGGGAAGTGCCTGTTCTTCAGAATAGCCTTCTCTCAGAAATCAGACTAGCCCCCCTTTTTGACCATATAGGAAATGTTATTGATTGTCGTGATTGGTTGAGGGGTCTTTTTTATTCGTTTATTTTTAATTATATGTATTAGGAATATTTGCACTGAACTATAAATCGATTTCATTGATTATCAAACATTTGATATCGTTAGGAATATTCAGGAATATTTCAAGCTTATTCTAATGGTAAATAGCTGAAGTTGCTTGTTTACGTATCTATTGATTGAATTTTTTTTCCTTTTTAAAAAAAATCTCATTATATACCTAACCAAAATAAAGTAGCTGTCTTACTGTGCAAATAATAACAATCTGATATTTTACCAATGGTCTGCAATGGAATGAGAGAATGATTTTGGAAGATGAAGGGGGAGGGAGCCCACAACTGATTAAGAAAAAGAAACTTAGAAAGGATCTATTGGTAAAAACAAACAGCAGGAAATTTGTACTTTCAGACTTATCCCAAAGGTACTTTTTCAGGAGGCATCTGAACTTTGTTGTTGTTTCTTTAAAGACGTTTCACTTCTCATGCAAGAAGCTTCTTCAGCTCTGACTAGATGGCAGGGAATGGAAGGATTTATATTCCTTGCAGACACTGA